GCCATTTTCAAATTAATATTGACAGCTTTCTTCTTTGTGATATCCAGACAGAATTCTGACTTTTAGTGAGCATATTTGATTAAGATCACTATTTTATAAATCTTTTAAAAGTAATAAATTGTAAAGATTTATAAAATTTCATTATTTTTTTTCCTAACTTAGATTTTGAAAGCATTTTATCAAAAAGACTGTATCGGCCATTTTCACTATTGGTGGCCATATTGGATATTTTGCTGCCATCTTGGATATTTTTTAGCTGGCATGGAAACAGAAAATTAGGGCTTGCATAGACCTTTCCGAAAATATATAGTTTGCCATACTTCCAAATAAAATTAGACTCGTTACTTAAAAATCTGCCGAGACTTATCGGATTTTTCTTCCTTTCATGTGCCATCAATAGGTACTCTTTAATAGTTAAATTTTCTTACATAAAATAGCAGTATTCACAAAATTGATAATTTCATAACTTCTGTTCTACTTGGAATTTTTTCACCAGGTAAAGTGTTTTATATTTCTGAATGTGTATGTGTTTGAGCTAGAATATATTTATTTGAATATATCTCATCGAAAATTTATACCTGAACCCCCTACAATAGGATTACCTCCACAATGAAACGTTTGTTTGCTTCTCTTTTCTTCTCTGTCTAATAAACAGAATATAAAAGCTCTGCTTCCAGGGGTAAATTCTCTACCCCGTCTTTGATAATTTATTACAAACGATCATAAGGGATCACTTACTTTTAGTTTTGAAAAAAAATAATAAGGCACTTAAAGAAGTAAAATTAATTTTGAAAAAAATGGATAAATATATATTAATCTTAATCGGCATTGTGATCCTCTTCTAAAAATCAACCGACATTATTATTCACAGAAGAATGAGGTATGAAAAATCTTGGCAATTAGCAAAAATTTAAAATATATACTAATGCTTATTTATAAGTTTTGAAAATTTGATCAATTCCTAGGGAACGTATTATTAGCTGTGAAAATACTTTTTAAATTTGAATTTATCCAATTTGTCGATTATTATTTTGAGCGTTTGAGAAGAATTAAATTAAAATACAGGTGTTTAGAGGCACATTGATAGAAAAAAAATCAGTGCATATTGTTTAACCGACATATTGAAGAAAATGACACTGATAACTTCTTAAGTTACACTGACTTTTATTGTACATTTGAATTTTTAAATACTAGTATTGATTGATTAGACAACTTTCCTTTTCACATGTTTTATTTGAGAACAATATTGCATATAGAGTATATGGCAAATACACATTATATGTCCTTATCTAGACATATTGTGCAAGACTTCTTTTAAATGATTCTCATATACCATTTACTTTCTTCGAACATTTACTTGTTTGAAAAGTCAATAAAGTACATTTCATAAAGCTTGATAATCTTGTTTACTCGCCAGTCTTCCCGTAGAAGTAGTAGTTCATAATATTTCTAAACGGAAGTATCTGTATCAAAATACAGAATGATCAATGATCGATTTAAGAAGAACCAGAAGTCTCTGTCGAGACTGTAGCTCTACTGGTTTGTACTTATTAAAAACCATTGCACTATTTTATGTGTCTTTGTGTAGTCTACTTGTGTGCCAACTTATTTTGAAATCAAACTAAAACTGTAGAAGGAGTAGCGATTTAAAGGAATTTCAAAGAAAATTCTATTTTTAGTAACCATGGTAACACCGTTCATCGAAATCAAAAACCGATGCACTATTCCATGTGCCTTAGTGTAGTCTACTCATGTGCCAAGTTATATTTAAATCAGACCAGAACTGTAGAAGGAGTAGCGTTTTAAAGGAATTTCACAGAAAATTCTATTTTTAGTAACCATGGCAACACCGTTCATCGAAATCAAAAACCGATGCACTATTCTATGTATCTTAGTGTAGTCTACTTGTGTGGCAAGTTTTATTGAAATCAGACCAAAACTGTAGAAGGAGTAGCGTTTTAAAGGAATTTCACAGAAAATTCTATTTTTAGTAACCATGGCAACACCGTTCATCGAAATCAAAAACTGATGCACTATTCTATGTATCTTAGTGTAGTCTACTTGTGTGCCAAGTAATATTGAAATCAGACAAAAATTGTAGGAGGAGTAGCATTTAGAAAAATTGTTTACAGACAGACGGACGGACGGACGCCGGACACATTACTATCGCATAAGCTCTTCTGGTCTCTGACCAGTAGAGCTAAAAACTGACTCCTGAAAGTTCAAGAGGTGGGATCCGTTGCCTAGAAGAAGTAAGCATCCCTCGTTGACAGGTTACACCCGCAGTGAGCCTACACATCTGGAGCTCTCTGATATCAATAGGTTCCACCCGTGCATTTTAGGTCGAAAGGTGGCGCTACTGTTTCATAAGTGGTATGCGGGACGCTTTGTCTTGAAGACGCTTGAATGTTTTCGTATGACGCTAACTTACTGACTGTATAGGTAACGATAGATTTCATTACAACGAGGGATGCCGCAATATTGTTGCGTTCCTGGGTGTAAAAATACAGGCGGGCATCGCTTTCCGTCTGATAATACACTGAAATTGAAATGGCGAGTTGCTATTAGACGAACGGACCAGAGAAAGCGTCTATGGACACCTGGCAAATTTGACGTTGTGTGTCACGCCCACTTCCTCCCCAGTGACTTCAAGACGACGCTATTAGGTTAGTCACGGTATTAATTACACGTTCATAGATTGTTTTTTGTTGAATTTTCATTTCTTTTTTTCTATGATTGTTTTTTTTTAACTAATAAAATGAATTCCTGTTCGTGTTGCTTTGTGGTTTGTTTTCAATTTCCCAGGTATACGTCCTGTTAAAACAGACATGCAAGCAAGGATTATGGAGATGAAGCGGATGAAACTATTTGGGAGTATTTTAATTCCATTGTATAGGGCCTATAGTAAAAATTATTCAAATATATATTTCGGCAACCTAAGCATAAGCATGATAATTGTTTTTATAATAAATACGAGTACGTACTCAATGATAATTCATTTGATTTTAATTTAAGGAACTTTTGATATGTTTTCCTAATTTTATTTTAGCTTGTGGTTATAAATATCAACATCCAGCTCAATACTTTATAAATATTCAATAAAATTACAATCAAAATTTCAAACTATTTTCCTCATCTTATAAATTAATTTCATTTTATTTCTTTTTGATAAGGTGACAGATCACGACTAAAGGAAGATGCGGTTCCTTCAATTTTTACATTTAATGCAAGTAATGAAGAGTCATCAAGAGAAAAACGATTTAAGAAGAGGCACACACACCTAGAAAATTTAATTCCATTCCAGGAGATTTGCTGTCAGCAAGAAGTAGAGGTTAGTACTGAATCAGAACTTGTTGACTGTGATGATTGTCCAACTGAAGAGCCTGCACTGCAACACCAAGGTATACAATGTGAAATTCCAACATTCGGAAAACTGTCTGTTGAAAGTGTCATGAATAATGATAAAATCATTAACTACTACACTGGGTTTCAAGATTACAACCACTTTATGATGTTTTTTCACTGCCTTGGACCCAGTGCATATGAGCTCACATACCAGTGTTCATTACTTCATCCAAAAGATCAGTTGTTTATGACTCTTATCAAACTTAGGCAAGACAAAGAAGATGTTGAATTGTCAATGCTTTTTAATGTGTCAGAGTCCACGGTATCCAGAATAATTATTACATGGATAAATTTCATGTATTTTCAATTAAAAGAGATTAACTTTTGGCCATCTCCAGTTGTCATCCATGAACACATGCCCCAAGACTTTAAATCAAAATTCCCTAACACCAGAGTAATACTAGATGCCACTGAGATACCTATTGAAAGGCCGTCCCATGTAAACTGTCAGAGTGTGACTTGGTCAAATTATAAGCACAAAAACACTCAAGACCATGATTGGCTGCAGTCCAAAGGGTGCTATAACCTTCATTTCTGATTCTTATGGTGGTTCTGCTTCTGACAGACAGATTATTGAAAAATCTTGTCTTCTGGAGCCTACATTAAAGCTTTTTGAAAAGGGCGATTCCATAATGGCTGATAGAGGCATTATGGTTCAGGATTTATTTGCTAATCAGGATGTTCATATTAATACCCCTACGCTGTTAAAGGGAAAATCGCAATTAGACCCAGACGAAGTGGTTCATGATCGACGAGTGGCGTCTAAAAGAATCCACATTGAGAGAGTCATCGGTTTGTCAAAGAGTTTCAAAATATTAAAGCATGGGATTTCGAAGAGTAAACTTCAGTTAGGGTCTCGTATCATATTTATTTGTTTTGCCATATCAAACTTCAGGAGAAATATTGTTCCAAAGAATGCATAAGATGATATTCAATGTTACTTTTTATTTGAAAAAGAAAAACTGTTGCTAATATGTACTGATAATTTATGGATAAAATTCAGTTTCACCACAGAAATAGTGTTGACTTGAGATTAATACCTTTTATCATTCAAGTTTTTGCAGTATTCAATACATGTATAAAGATCATTCATGTTCTTGTGGAAGCCCTAAACATTACAAACTGGAGGGTTCTAATTCCATTGAGTGTTAAAAAAAACGTAAAATCCATGTAAAAGTATATATATTTTTAAATACTGTAGTACAGTTGAAAATTACATGTATATACTGTACAACATAATATAATGACTAGGATGCACTATTTTTTAAAGAAACATGCTCTTCAAGGCAACATTGAAAATCCATATTTAGCAAACTGTAACTGTTCAGTATTTGAGAGCTGTGGTGGAATATCAGTACAAATAATTTTTGTTTTTGTTTTTAGACAAGATGAAATAAAATATATGTTTGTTTATATAAAAATTTATGACATGTACCCATTGATAAAATAAATATTTCCAAATGCAATAAACATGTATTAACACTGTTTGTTATACTTATTATTTTTATAAGTATCTTGACCATTGACCACTTTGAATGGCAAATGGATTATCGAAAGATAGTTCTGTGCAATGCAATACAAATAACATTTTCATTTTAAAACAGTGATGCAACATAGCTTCTGAAAAACGTTTTGTAAAAAGTTTCTAGCTTAGGAAGGAGACAATTGTTACAGTATTCATCGTCAAACAAGATTTTCTGTACAAACAAATCGCTTAAGGTATATACAACAAAGTAGCACAGAGACCTTTTAGTTACATAAAGCTGGCCTTGTATCTGGTCATAATATTTGCTTGAAGTCTTCAAAACAATTTTACCCTCATCATCATATTTCAAAAATTTGAAATTTTTCCCTGGTTTCACAACATCATTTCTGCCATTAAATGGACATTTAATTTCAACAATACTACTTCCATCAACAACAGCATCAGGAGAAGCACCCAAAAAAGGCTTGTCTAAACAAACAAAAAACCCACATTTCTTAGCATTTACATTAAATTTGCTGTTGAATACTTTCAAAGCTTTTGCCTTATAATTTTTTCCATGCCGCAAAGCTTCACTGTTGATTTGAACATCAGACAATAATGCAGCACACAACTTCTTGGTATTTCGACGAGAAGTGGCCTTGCATATTTCCCCAAACTTTGATGCTGTAAGGCGCCACTTCCTCTCGATGAACCAAATCTGGCTTGCACTCTGTTGTCTTGTGGACTCTTCAATCCTTACTACATCAGATTCTGTAACCTATATATGTGTAAAATTAGCATTAATTGATAAACAACTAAAAATCATAAGAGTTACATTTATTTTAACAAAATCTATCACATGTACCTTAATGGAATCATCAACCCAGTGCTCAGTAAAAGGCAATTGGCAATAGTCGTGGTCTTTGACAGCAGCCTTGAAAAATTTTTTTTGTCATATTAATTACTTGTACATTGTTAAAAAATACAACTTCACCAGAATGTAATTAATTTCTTATTTCATTCAAATATATATACCTGAATATTTGCCTTCCCATACATGTATCGGAATGAAATATCATTTGATGACTGGCTGCAGTAATTGGTAACTATAGATTGTACATAGTCGTTGTATCCAGGACAGTTTCTTCTTTTCTCTGGCCTTGGGTCACTGAGGAAGTCTGCAGCTAACTTTCTCTTTGTTGGAAGGTTTTCAGCTTTGACTGGAGATCATTGAAAGCACACAAAAAAATAAACAAATGCACTACTGTGAAATGAACAAAATTTTTTTTAAAACTAATAAGTTAAATTATACAGTATCAAAGAAACTTACAATATCCAGAATTTACTGAATTATTTAAAGGAATAATAAATTACCATCATAGGAGGATTTTGGTTTTGTAAACATCATTAAAGTATCAGTGCACGACTTCCCTAGTCTGAGTTCTCTTGATTCTGTAAACTCTTTTATCATCAGGAGGACTGCAGCAATGTGTTTGCAGCTTCCATGAGGCCCCTTCCCTGCTGGACACTCACAGTGTGTGTTTACAGGATCTCCAGACTTTTTGTCTAGTTTTATCTTGTATATGTAGGAGACCTGTAGCAAAAAATATTATGTAAGGAATGAATTTAATAGCTACTCAAGTTATACTGGTATAACCTGTGTTGGGGCAGTTTACACTTTAATTTACAAACTACAAAGCAGTTTATTAAAAAAAACATAAACTCTTCAAACTCAGGTTATATGCAAACCAGTATAACTTAGGTAGTCATTTAGTTCATTCCTTATAATTTAATTTTCCAGTTATTAAATGTAGAAAATAAAATGATTGTTCCTTCAACATGTTCAAAATTGCTGTATTTTAGGTGAAACATCAATTGGACTGATATGTTTTTGACGTAGGCAATCCAGGTTATATGATTTATATTCATTCAATTAAATGAGACGTTAACAACTAAAACTGAATCATTATGAAATTGAAATAAATAACATGAAGAGCACTAATGCTCACTTTGTCATGTTGAAATAATTTCAGTCGTACTCGATTAAAAAATATATAACCTTTTTCTTCATTGCTGCTCCTACAATGCCACTTAGGTATATGTTATCATGAATAAGTAACTATGGAGCATGCCAGTACTCTGTCACTTTCATACATCAGTTGTCCTTTTGTTATAGACTTTAAATCATTCCGTGCTTGTCTGTCATCTGAATGAAAGTAACGAAGTACATGTATTTTAAGTTGAATGATATTTCTGAATTCCAGGAACTCTATTGTATCACTGTATAGTTTACTTTCATTTAATTGAGAGAAAAAATCCATATTACTGTATACAGGGTTATTTTCGCCCCGTGTTATTTTCGCACTTGCGAACTATTTTGCCCCGTTTTAAATTCGCCCAGTCAAAGTTTTGTTTAAGAAATTATGCTGTGTAATTTGAATTTGCACCGTTTTAAATTCGCCCATTCAGAAAGAGGGCAAAAGGGGCGAAAATAAAACAGGGGCGAAAATTTCCCTGTATACAGTATTTAATTTTTTCTTATTTTTAAAAATTGAAATTGTATTTACAAAGATTATGTCATGTTTTACCCTTTTATTTTAACATACTATATAAAGAATTTCCCATTGATTTGTGGTAAGATGTGTGATTTTTTATCAAAATTTGATGTGTTTTTTTTATCCCTTTTTCAAGGCTTAAGAACAGAAAATGTTATCTAGTTGAATAAAATTAATATCCAACCATATCCAACCATAAACCATGAGAGATTCTATATTTATGCAAGCTTATTCATTATACCAGCCATTCTGTAAATGAAGTAGGCCTCTATCTGCTCCTTGGATATTTTACGAAGGATAAGATGGTGGTCCTTTTGAAGCTGCTTAAATCCTGATGTGGGCCAGTCCACCACAGAAGGCTCAGGTAGTTTGATGGACGCTGGCGTGAAGTTGTCATTTCTGATGTAGGCTCTTAATCTAATATAGTAATGATTATACATGTACATCTATATAAAGAGAAAAAGGGGAAACAACAGCACTCAAAATCGTTGCTGAGATGCATCTGCCGTACCTGTTCCATCTTGCATTTTATCACGAAATCCTCTCTGTTTACTAATCATGCTTTGATGTATGTATTTGTTGTTTAATATACAGCAAGAAAAATAAATTATTACATGATAAATGAAACTACCTGTCAATAAGCTGAGTCTTTCGCCCAGTTGTCCGAGCTCCGCGATCGACCAACTCCTTTTTTAAGCGCGATACCGGCCAATCTACCAGATCCACAGCGTCGGAATCCATGTTGTTTTTATTAGTTACAAGCGCTTTCGAGATTCAAGCGTCCCGCGTACCACTTATAAAACAGCAGCGCCGCCTAACGTTTAATGACGTGAATGAAAGCTATTCATTTACAAAGTCTCTGCTCAGCCATCTTTTTTTCTCTGACTAGCCAGCTGTAGATCGACACTACTCCAAATCCATTACTAGTAATCTAAAGAATTTAACTTATTTTTTTAGTTGTTTGCTATAGAATACATGTACCAGTAAACACAAACACTTTGGCTATGTAGATTCAAGCCTCGGTAAACAATTCTCAAATTAATTCCACGGCTACATATGGGTCATTCTCAAAAAATGTCCAAATTTCAGTGAAACAAGTTTTTTGGTAAATATTTTAATGAAACAAAAGCTTTTTTTTGTGCTGATGAATTTAACAATGATATAAAATTGAGAGAAAAGGTTTAAGTACGATTAAATATTGATATAAATACTGAAAAAATCCTTCAACATGAGTTAAATTAGAGAAAATTGCGTGTGATTTCGCCAAGGGTATGCATTCAGCTCTCCTTATTGAGACAGTAAATATAATTTGGGAGTATAAAATACCTTTAATGTATTGTAAATACTTAAAACTGTTTAAAAACATGCTAAAATGTAACTGAAAAAGAGTAAGGATATATTTTTTTAAACAGTAAGTGTTCGTTACTTTTGCCGCGTCCTTAGTGTTTCCGAAACATAAAAGTTATCTGTAACAGTTATCTTTCCTCAAGGAACTCTTCAGCATCAGCCGCCTTCTAAACATCTTTTACAAGCCAAAATAAAATCAAAGTACTCAGAAGTACAGAGAGCCGGGCTCATTTACAGAGTAGAATGGATTTCTTACATGAATCACGATTATATTCTGATGAAAAAATTATTTTAAAACTATCAATATAAATGATAAGACACTGACAGTGAGTTTTTCAATCCTAATACCACGGTCCGATTTTGTCAGAATCAGAATTAATCTGGTACCGCAGCTGAATGTAAACAAACAGGCCAGTCTGGTTCCCTCTCCTGCTTTACCTCGTATGTGTAGAGAACTAAGGTAACACTGATTATCAAAAATCCTTACGCTAATGAACTATGTTCTTTGACGTATGAAGTTTTCAAAGTCATTACTTCTAATGTTTATTTTATATAGATAAAACTTCGTTTTATTTTTGTTGCTTTATCTATAGCTTTTGTATCATCTCAAAAGCGGTTGAGAGTAAGAACTATATTTTTGCGCGTAACTTTAAAATGGCGACTATGGGGTCAACATCCTGTCTTGAACAGGATCACATAAGCCGGCAATTGCTCTTTGAGCAATAGGCCCGGCTAAAAAGACACAAAATACACGTGTTTCACCCCGTAGACACAATATATGGTTTCAGTTGAGTTTGGTTGAAAGAGTAATTATTTTTTTAGTCCTTGGAGTTACTTAAATAATGGGATGATAAATTAAAATATAATGTTTTTGATGCATTGAGCGACTTTGTTGTAAAATACACATTCTCTAGGTGCTATGCTCTGTCTTCATAAGTCAACCATTGTTTTTATACTTACAACTTTTAATGTAATAATTCCCTGGCGATACTGTCCATTTTGTTACTGTAGGAAAAGTTACTCGAAGGACATATTTAATTACTCTATGGACAATCTGTACAGAAACTTCAATATTTACAATTTAAAAAATAAAATATAATGTGTAAAGTTTATCGAAAATTATATATCAATAATATTTGTATCATCTGAGCATATGTTTTACATATAATATTTTATACATGCTACAAATTAATTCAATAAACGATACGCGTAACACTTAGGACAAATTTGATAACTCCATGGATGTCAAAATGATGAAACATTTACATCATAAATGTACTCTTGTATTTACACTTGTTTCAGCAGTAGAGTAGAGAGTCTTTATTTATTTTGAGTAAATTGGAATATCAAAATTTCTTATGAAATACATCTTTACCCCCTTTTAACCCTATAATACTTAACTGTGGTAAAATTATAAACAAATTCAGTTACTCAAGGGACACAGCAAGCATTTAAGATAGAAAAATGAAATAAAAATATCACGTATGAAGTCGTAATTGTGTTCAATGTATAAAAGAAAACAATTGTGGGGAGATGATACAATTTGACTTACATTAAAAATAATGAAGTTCTTAAAAACGAGATGGTTAAAGTAGTAACTCCAGGGAAGTTTAGGAACACAAGGGAATAAAATAAGAATGCAGGGTTTTATGATATATAACATGTTTTACTCGGAAATCTGTTGATTCTATGTCATGTTCTCTCGATGAAGATATTGGAAGGACAAAACATTTCAAAAGTTGCATAAAAAAGAGACAAACAGACAAGTGAAAGATCCAAGGAATTCAGACACCTTCAAATTAACGTCAGATATAGAACATTTGACTATTCTAGCATGGAATGAGTATGTCCGGCGATGAAATAGTTACGAATTTTTCATCACTATCAAAAGCGATATCGAAAGATTATAATTCCGAGGAACAATGCATCTGTCACCAATCATGATTTTTTGTTTGAATGTAGATGAAGACGCTCTTCATGCAGATTTGTCTAATTTAGTTTCCCCGTAAAGGTTGGAAATTGTTTGTAAACCTTATACTATAGAAGTATATTAAGGCTTTTGGAATGAAGTCGGAGCAGCTGAAGTTAGAGTGGACATTATAGTAGAGGCAGTACTTAATATGGATCTCTATCTTTCCCAGCATATCTTGAAATTTATATCAAACAACAGATAGGTATTAGGCAAAAGTATATTCTTTTTATTCTGGTGAGTATGGAGCTGATCAACACTTAACATAAAATCAAATAATTTATGAAAAAGGAAAGGCAGACAGTTGGGGTATTAAGAGGACAAAACAGTACATATGAAGAGAAACCAGAGCAACCAGAGTTCCTGGAGAAAAATAAAAATACTGAAAACACTGAGACCCTGGAAAAGAAAACAGATAAAAATGCTGAAACACTGGAAAAGAGACAATCAGAACCTCAGAAGATATGTGTTATCAAAGCAGTAATGAAAAAAAACTAAATACGACCAAAAACTGTAAAAGATGAATATTAGTACAACATAGGTGATGTTTTGGTTATAACTGGTCCTCCACATCCTGTGGGTAGGAAGTATTTAATAGATAGCCCAGTGTGGAAGGAGGTTGTATGTAAAACAACAAACAAAATGAGATGTCCTTTGTGTTACCTTTTGTCTTTGGTTACAACTTCTTTTAGGACATACAAATACTTGTACATGTACCGATCACTGATTCTAGGTCCCATGAAAGTAATCCTTCATTATTCATGCATAACTTATATTTATTTTTCGTCCATGTTGACGTATCTTTATAATTAGATAATTATGTCTTTGTTGTTACTTTTTAATCATTGGTGTTACTAGTCAGACTCCAAATGTAAAAAGAAATGAAATTCCAAGCAATTTTTTTTCGTAAAATCATATACTTTCATTAACATCTGTAAGATAATGTCATTGTTGTGCTTTTTGCGGGGAGAGGGAAACAAATTTATTTTTTATTCTTAAGGTTTGAACAAAATGTCTTTTGTGTTACTTTTATGTCCTTTGTGTTATGAATATGTCCTTGGTGTAACTCAACCATTTTTCCTGAATTTTTTTTTCTAAATCTTTCCACAATTTTATCAAAACTTGCTACATAATCCTGTTGTCTTCTAATACGAAGTATATTTGCAAAGCCCATGTGTTTCATGCTGAGGTAAAATGACATATATGCTTAAGATATATATGTAAGAATAATCAAATTTTATAATTTTAACAACTTTCAGCTTCATGTCATCTGAAATTTCTTTCTTAAGAACCCTCAGTTTGTTTTGATAGAATATTTTTGATCAAGATGTTGAGATTATGATTCTAGAAACCTGAAATTTTTGTTAGTTATTATTTTATTGCGATTTCTAAGTAAGTAACACCATGGACGTTTATTGTTGGATGCACCTACTTAAAATGGATTTTATAGTAAATGTTGATAGAATTCTTAGTGTTTCAACATTTTTTATGCATCTCTGATGTTTCATTACTAACATAAAACTTTAAAGTATTTAGTTCTCAGGATTTATTTTCTCTAAATTCTCTTGATGGAATCTGGACAAAATTTGAGAATGACCCATATCATCATTATTGATACTGTCTTACGTTGAATTAAAGTAATTTTGGAATAAATTTCATGTATAGTCTGCAGTTTGGCATCTGAACGTGAATAATGCAAACGAAAGAGCGCAAACTATACAAGATACCCCACACGTCATACATAACACAGCTTTTGCAATGCATATTTTGTTTACTACAAAACTCCTCGGGTGTTTTGGTTCGGTGGTGAAAACAAGAAACCCATCTGAACTATAAGCCAACATTTCGGAGGAACCATTTTCTTTGGCTAATCGAAGATTCACTCTTACATGACCCCAAATAGAATGTTTTTAGATGTTTGAGAAGCAGTAGCGGATTCGGAACATCTGATTTTAATTAGATTGCATCCATCTGTGACATCAGTTTGGAATGTTATTGGTTTTACTATTAAGTAAAGTATTACAAAAACAGAATGTCTGGGTTTTTTTCTCTGATGGCATTGGACAAAGATATGCATACTGAAATATCATTTCATGCACTTTTTTCGGTACATATTAGATGAAAGCATGCTAACCGCTTTTCAGTACTTTCAGTACTTTGATTAGATATTCCAATATAAGGATATCATGGTATTTGAAGTCCAAGACCAGCTAGAGGGGGTAGTTATGGACTTAACTGTTTTCAAGACAACACTGGTAAGCACATGCGTAAATTTGTAGAGGAGTTGAAGGTCCAAGAACGCAAATTCAATGATATTCCACTCAAAGGTCAAGTCAAAGGTGTGGAGGAGTGGTCATCCGACAGCCATCTTGCAACATTTATAAATGATGCAGTTAATATTTGGAGAAACGGCAAGTTATGATACAAATTTAACAAAATA